TTGTTTGGTGGTGATGCTGGGTTTGACTCTTTTAAAGCAATCTGTCGAAAGTACTGGAAGATGCAGGTTGTCATTATCAGGATCAGATGGACAAACTGAGTCACCAATGAGGAAGTATTAAGCAGAAAAAATTTTCAGACAAAAGAAAGCAGTGGAGATGGATTGGACTGAGCATACCATCTGGAAATCTGGCAGCTACATAACAAAGCAAGTTTTAACTTGGAGTCCACGGGTTAAACGATCAAGGGAAGGCCATGTGGAACCTGTAGAAAAGTCGCATCGAATGATGAAGAGAAAATATGGAAAGACATTTGAAAAATATGAAAAAGTTAGCCCAGGGTAGGGAATAGTGTAAAGTGTTTGTCCGTACGGAATGAGACAGGCGATGATGAAACTGGCATGGTCTCTTCTAGAGCAATTTTTTAATGGATGAGCCCGGTCATAGATATCAACATCCTGCCAACTTTGATCTTCTGATCACTCTGTTTCAGATAATAAACCCTAGTGTGCGTCTTTCAGCTTGGTGTATCGCTTTTGCTTAAATAATTGTACTCTTTCGTGTTGAGAAGACCGGTTCACATAGGTCTTTCTGTCTCCCCATGTCAAAGTCCAAACGAAGACAAATATAGTTGTTCTGGCTTCGTCTTTTAATGGTGAGTAGTCATTTAATTTGGTTGAGCAATGACATCTGGATTTCAGTTCCTTGTTTTTAAAAAAAATAGTCCTATCTCTTGAATTGTATTGCGTATTGCTGGTTCACATTGCTAGACTTTGAAAAATTCCTTTTCTCGTTACGGTGCTCTGATGTCAAAATCAGTGTGCTTTCAATGTCAAACAAGTTTGGATTGTAATACAACACGGAAATAAACTTTATATTTGACTACGTTATTATTATTGTTATTTTTTTGTTGCAAAAGCGACCAAGATCAAAACTGTACAACCTACCACTAGAAGGGCACACACATTATATATTCGAATTTGACAGTCGTTATGAAACGATACCAGTCCTGCATCTAGGAAACACACATTTTTATCATGACACAGAGAGGTTTTCCCGCAAAACGCATGAAGTCGACATTATAAATTATAATCTTTGCCCTGAAAACCGTGAATACATGTACGGACCGAGCATTATGTTTGCTTAATTTCGTGCTTTCATATATTCTTAAACATACCGGGGTCTCTAATAAGAGAAAACACACCGTCTTATAACCATGAATACAACACCGCGTTACGCCTACTGATGAAATCGTGAATTCCACACAGTTTCATGACCGCATCAGGCGAGATTCGAATCTGAAAATCGTGAATTCCACACAGTTTCATGACCGCATCAGGCGAGATTCGAATCTGAAAATCGTGAATTTCACACAGTTTCATGACCGCATCAGGCGAGATTCGAATCTGAAAATCGTGAATTCCACACAGTTTCATGACCGCATCAGGCGAGATTCGAATCTGAAAATTGTGAATCCCACACAGTTTCATGACCGCATCAGGCGAGATTCGAATCTGAAAATCGTGAATCCCACACTTTTTCGAAAAAATGACCATCTACGCAAAAAATGTACTGGATCTACAGTATTTTTTCTGAAGGCTAATTGAATAGATGTGTATCCATTTAGTTTATGTCTAGGCCGCTAATTGCCAGAGGAAATTAGTTTTGTTCCCTCTCCTGTAATGTGGAATTCACGATTTCATCAGGCGACTGACGTTATGTAGTATGTGTGCGTAGAAGGGGGTGGTTGGCGGGTGCCCTAGTGTGGTTTGATCCTTCTTTCATATGAAATTGTGAATGTTACTGTATTGTATCACCTCTAATCTTCTTCGGCACTTATATGACCTAATTGTGTTGGAGGTGCCTTTAAACTCTTACTATATATGTATGCCGAAGCGAAGTGTCTCCTGCCATACAGTTACTCCAGCCTCCTTTTTCCAGTGATAACCAGGGCTGAACAAGACGAGAAGTTTCTCAAGGCCTGTTCCCGGCAATAAGACAACCTACTACCTTAGAATTACAAACGTCTCTCTGACCTGTTAAGCCGTTTTGAGTTAATGAGACCTCGAGGCCAGAAACCAAATGAAATGTCTGTTCTGTCGAAAATGTATGATTTTTTAAAGTCGTTATCAAGATTTTCAAAGAATTGCATTTGAAAAAGCTTGACATGTTGTAAAACTCTAAATTCTTACCTTCAAATTTCTCAAAACTAGGTATAGAGCAGAGAGAACTCTGCAATCCTTGGAGATCTGAGATAGCGAGTTGTAGTAGTACCCTGGGTTCAGGATTTTTGTACCTGTACCAGAACTTCGGGCACTTCCAATAAATGTATGTGTCGGCGGTGCAAACTGGTACCAGGCTTTGAGTACCGCTACTGGGAAGGTACCAGCACCAAATATATTTCACTGGTTCTGGGAAGGTGCCGACGCCATAGTCTTTAGTACACCGCGGGTGGTGTGCCCTTGAAATAACGCCCTGGTTACATGCAGCTATAAATTCTATCTGTTTTGTTCCCTTTAAGCTGGTGGTGGAAGGGCATTCTGTTCTTTAAGCTGGTTGTTAAAGTGCTCTGCTGGTAGGCCCTACTTCTTTTTTCCTCTCTGTTGTCGGTCTATCTACGTTGTTTCTTCCATGCACGTTATGACCGTTACTGAATCGACGTGCTTGCCTTTACCTACAGGGGGCTCTCGTGGCCTAGAGGTAAAAGTGTTCGCCTCTCATTCGCCTGGTTCGAATCCGGGAAGCGACGGAAACATTTTCTTATCTAAAATTGTCTCCTTTCACCTCCTATCCTGCTCTCTAGCAATCATCTGTCGTTTGCTTTCATCTCCTCTTTCTGCCCCCATCCCCCTTACCTCCTTTGCCCCTTCCTCTGGGTTCCTGACTCTTTCTGCAGCTTTTCTACCGCTACTTCTTGGCTCCTTCCTACTGCTGTCTTTCAGCCACACCCCTTCTCGGGCAAGGGCGAACATTCTCGGAGGACCCGTGTGCAAGTTGCGCACGTTAAAGATCCCTTGATGGTCTAAAACCGATAAGAGTAAGCTTCGGCTGCTACCCAGGCAAACTTCGAAATTTCCTATCAACTGAAAATGTTTTAATGTGTTCCGGGCGCTCATATGACCTTATGCAGTTGCGAGCGCCATAAAACACTTACCAAAACCTTTACATTAAACTCAAACTCAAAGCAATCTGTTTACACGTTCCAATTTCTAATCGAATTTTCGTTCCCCCTGGGGTCAGAAAGTTGCTGAGACTCTTTCCGATGACAGCAGCGATTTGGTTCGACTGCAGAGGAGCTATTGCTTTGTTCTTATAGTGCGGTCAAAAATTCAGGGCGCGACTTCTTGTCAAAAAACTCCTCAACTATCGAACATAAGTTCTCCAATTTTTGCGCAATGATTTGTATCAATTTGTCTTAACAGATCAACATTTTTGTAAACTGCTAGCTGTATTCCTTAATAAGTTCTAATAAATAATCCAAGTGGGTGGTTTCTACGTATTTTTTAAAATGTTTACAGCTTGGGCAATATTGCTTTTAATAGCAAGTCCGTCATGTTTTTCTAACTGGGACATTATGCTTTGAGAACCATAAGTGCAAAAAATATGTTAACTATAAAAAATAATTTCTTGTAGAAAGTTTTGCAAGTAAAAATTGCCATTGATGAGCTGTGACGTAGGCCATATTATGCTTAATTAAAATGTGTGTGTGTAACGGGCAGTACTGTGAACAATACCATTTTACATATTTCAGACATTTCAAGTATTGTATATAAATTTATGAAGAAAAGTTTTTAAAAAAATCTAACCCAATTTTTCTTGAAAAATATGATTTAGTTAAGACAAATTAATACAAACTGCTGTGCAAAGTATGGATGGCATTGATTCACCCGTTAGAAAGATATTTGAGAAAAAGTTGCGCCACGAATTTTTGAGCGCACTATAGTTCTTTAAACGTTGACAAGCAAGTCGGCCCACTATTTGCACCTGCTCAAAACTTGGAAACCAAATGTGAGGCGTGCTGACAAAATCAGTTACTTCTCGCAATCAAAAATGGAGATATTAACTAAAAATTTACACAAGGGACGTATTTGTAAATTCTAAACCAATCCTATTCTCTTCAAGTTTTACATGTCTTTTATCAATTTCATACATGTACTACATGTAATAAATTGTAAAAAGTCAACCTATAAATTTGACGCATCTATTTCCATCGGCCTAAAACCCGAGAAGTAACTCATTTTGTCAGCACACCTCACAAATGGTATTTTATAAAGACCAACCAAAATTATGATCGTACTGAATCTCTGACCCAAACCCTAAACCTAAACCAAACGTAAGACCTAAGCCTATCGAAAACCCTGACCCTACAACCTAAAAATAAAGCGCTGCAGGAGTCTGGCATCGTGTAAGGCAGGGTTAACCTGGTAGAAAATGCTGGTATCGATACATCTAAAATTTCGTGATTATTGAACCTCCGCGTTGCCCGCAAGGCGGCATCGCGATAACTTCTTCGGAGTCATTCCAGCGATTTGCCTGCACTCTTGTGTCCTGCTGCTTGTGGGGAGGAGATGGAACGGATGAAAAAGAGAAGCAGCAGGTGAGACACGAGACGCACAAAGCTCTCTGACGCCATCTGTATTGGCGACATTTGACGTACAGGAGTGGAATATTACTAGAAGTTCATTTATTCTCTACCGCCCAGTATTACTGAACACAGCAAGTCACACTTTGCCAAGGCTAACCTGTCCAAAATCGAACTTTGTTCTTAGGTATGTTTGAATTGCCACCCTGGGCGATTTGGTAATTTTGGTGAGCGATTATTACTTAATGGCCCTCTGGAAATACATATTGGTGGGCGAGACGAAAATGTTTGCCTCTTAAAAGGGGAAAAAGAAGACGTTGGCTTGAAAAAAAAGTTGACAAGCTCTGGTTTTTTACAACTTTGCTTAGTATAAAAATGTGTACGAGTTTCTTATCGTCTTTGCATTTTCCCGTCCTCCAGGGTATCTCTGCGACCGTGTCGAGGCAGGGCACTATGCTGACCGAGCCGCTGTCCACCCGAGGGCTTATGGAGGGAGCACGGAAACAGACCAAGAACTCAGGACAGCAACGAAACCTCTTCCCGAAGAATGGTGAGTAAATACTGTGATTGAGAGAGAAAAAGATGGATTAAAAGGAGGGGGGGGGGGATAGAAAGAGCGCTAGGGGAGGGGGAGGCGGACAGACAGAAAGGCACTGAGGAGGCTAAGGGACATATAGCCACACAGACAGATAAGCTTGCTGAGAGGGAGCTAAAAGACAAGCTAAAAGAACTGGACAGAGGTTGAGAAAGAGAGAGAAAGAGATAGAGAAAGAGGGAGAGAGAGAGAGCGAGCGAGAGCGAGAGAGAGAGAGAGAGAGAGAGAGAGAGAGAGAGAGAGAGAGAGAGAGAGAGAGAGAGAGAGAGAGAGAGAGAGAGAAATCCAAGATTTTACTCCAAAGAATGGTTGCGTGAAATTTTAAAAAACTAATGCGTCAAGGATAAGAACCCAAAATAAACCCACAAAAATTAATTAACATTTCCATTCTGAACGTCATAAAGTCGAAAAGTTTGCTTACCTATGAAAAATAATTCTGTTTTAATTGAAACCTGGTCTCCATTCGACGACTGTTTGCGAAGTCCCTTTGTGCAATACTTTACTTAGATCTCGTCTTCACTCCTCAGGCGTTTGTGGTGAAGGTCACATTTTGTGCAAAATCTGTGGGGACAAAGCTTCAGGATTTCACTATGGCGTATTTTCCTGCGAAGGCTGCAAGGTTAGTCTGTTTGTTGACTCCTTTTTACTTTTTGTTTTGTTTCGCCGGCGCTACGTGACTCGTGACAACAGCCGAGACGGTATCTGTGAACGAATAAAAATAGCTGGTATTACTCGACTTGACAGTTGCAGGGCAGGATGATTTGTGATAGTCCTCTCATTCTTGGGAATGTGCCACGGGATCATTTTTTTCTCCCAGTACTATAAATCAATTATCATACACATAATCTGCTCCCCCAGTGGATACGTGTACTTCTTTTTTCTCTTTATGTTGTTTCCGTCTATCTGTCTTGCTTTTCCCCTCCAATACATGACCATTGTTTTGTCCATGCGTTTCTTTTTTTTAACCAAACTCAGTGATGGATTTCGGTAACTTAATAAGCCAACGGCTCTACAGTGATAGTGATAGCAGAATGCTGCACATGAACATCTATGCTGCTCATGTGGGTGTATGTAAATAATTCATTCAATGTGTTCTTTTTAGTGCCTTTTTCTTTGCCTCTATCCCCTTCCTGCTTCTTCTCTCTGGGCTAGGTCTTAAGAAAAATTAATTAATCAATTGTGTTTCACACCCCATCGATACCGTTTCGATAACTTAGAGAGCAGGTTTTAACCCTGTCAGCCAGGGCCAACTCGAGCTGAAAGGGATTCAGCATCCCATCTGAAAAATCGAGATACTCGTTAACATTTTTCGCCCGCACAGGAATCGAATTCAGGCCTGCGAAGTGCGATGGCGAAGTATCTATGCGCAACACCACCGACGTATCTGAGCTTGATGCTCTTTCTCTGACGCGGCATCTTTGTGTCTAGTTAGGTATTGAACTGCCCCCCCCCCCCCCCCCCCCCCGCCGCTTTTTTCCCAGGCTTAAGACAAAGATTTGCATAACGCATCAGCTATTGTTTATTATGTGCTTTTTGTGTTTTAACTTATTTTAAGTAAAGATACCCGAAGCCAAAAGGAAAAACAAACTAACAAACGGACAAACAACACGCTACCTTGAATTACAAGGTTCTGTCTGCTCTATCAAAACCGTAAGATTATTCCGAGTCATTATCAAGATGTTCAAAGAATCGCATTCGAAAAAGCTTGACATGCTGTGAAAGCTCAAATTTTTAAAACTAGGTTCACGTGAAATTTCAGAAAACAAGGTACTGTGCAGATAGAACTTTGTGATTCTAGGGTAGCGAACGGCTGAAAGGTCGCCAGCAACAAGTAGGTATATTGGTATGCCAAACATTTTTTTGATAGTTTCTTTTATCTGATTGGTTTGGTGCTATCGTTCCCTGTGCTAAAAGTGTTTGCGAAATCGGTGATTTTTGTAATGTTCAGACTTTACACCTGAGTTGAGGAGGGGTTTTTTTGTTCATGTTGTCAGGGATTTCCATAGTTCGGTTACTTTTCAAGACTTATACGTTATTTTAGATTGACGCTGTTTCCTGTTGTCATGGAGACAAAAGACATGATTTAACTTAGAGTTTATTATTGTCATCTTTTATTTGATTGTGGGTGGTAGGCGGTTGCCTCGGTGTGGTTTGCTCATTCCTTCCTATCAAACATCTATCAGCCTTATCTTTCATTTTTTGGCGTTTGTTGACTATATTTGATACAGTAACATCTACGATGGATTTTTAGGAGTCTAGACGAGGAACACCGGGTGAAATACTTGCTAAAAAATTGGAACAGATCCCACGAAAAAGGATTATGATGATAGGTCTGTTAAAATCCCCTAAAAATATATGTTTTTTTAAAGTAAATGTAATTGTCAGTCATATTACTTGAGTTTCTTAATTAGCTAGAGCAAGTTTGGTAGCAGTGTTGAAAAAAACGAAAAATAGTTTTTCAGCTATAAATAAACAATTAAACAAAGAAAAAATAAATTTGAATGAAGGATATTTCAAGAGATTTCATTAACCTGGCTGACAGTAGTTTATGATAATGCGCTCAAAGTGGGACAAAACCAATAAATTGCTCTTCACTACTCTTTTGTTCATCTTTTGCCGGGGCAGCCGAATTTGCACAGCTGGCAGCTTTTCCGTCGGCTGTGAAATAACTAGGTTGTGTGACATTGGGCATGTCATATTATCATGTCTAGTTTCATCTTTTGCAAGCCATGCGCAGTGTGGTCTCGTGTCAGACTACACCCTCGTAAATGATATGCATAGACAAGGCTTTTACATTATTTATGAGTTTATTAGTGTTTCATTACTTCCTGATTTTACTCCATAGACGAGGGACGCCTCACGTTACACGTGATTCATTTCGACAGATGGATGATACTCTTTTTGTTATGGCTATTCGCAGCTTGCTATCTAGCATTTCTAAACTAAATGAAGCTCAATTGTTTTATTGTAGAAAGGTATTATGAATATACAGCGCAAATTATGTTGAAGTACTTTGGGCTTCTCACAACTGATTCTATTTTGTTTTTGATTTGGCGATTTGTAGCCCTTGGATTACAAGTCTTTGGTGTGCTCAAGAAAGTATTAAAAATGTCGTGAAAAGTAAAAAGAGGTCTCAGAAAGGTTGGGTTATTTTTTAAAATTAATTTTTTTAAATATTTTTTTTTGGGGGGGGGGGGAATTAATGAGATTTCATGGAAACAAATAGAAATATGAGGTGTACTGACCCCCCCCCCCCCCCCCCGCCGAAAAAATACCATCGTAAGAAAGGACCAATGCAAACCCAAGGACGTTCGAAGCGGCAGGCACCACCCTCCCTCCCCCCCCCCCCCCACACACACTAAAACAAAAATGAAAAGCGAGCAAGCAAACAAAAAAAGTACCAAACATGGGTGACGAGTAGACCAGGATTGTGGGTTTAAGAGCACCCGAGTAGATAAAGAATGCCTGCTTCAGAGACGGTACTTGAAGGCGCTAGTCAAAAGGCCGTATTGCCATTTCTTTTCTTTAAAGACAATTTTCAGAACTTCAACCTCAGAGTGAAAGTACAGTCACAAGACAGAGTCGTTTACAAACTAAGATGTTGTTTTTGTTGAGTTGTATCCAAAAGTGTGCGTTACAAGACGGAACGAAAAATGAACTGGAAAATAAACAAATTAGGCGTCACCATTGGCACACCAGTTCCTTTTGTTTTGAGTCTGAAATAAAAGGTCTTTAAAAAAAATCTGCTCGTAATCTGTGTACACATGACTTTTTCAGTCCCTAAAGGGGTATCGTGTGGGTGGTTGGCGGGTGCTTTGGTGCGGTTTGCTTCTTCTTTCTTTCTTATCAAACAGCTATATTCCTTATCTCTCCTCCTTTTTGTTTTTGTTACTCTCTTGTAACACCTCTAATGTGCGGCACTTATATGACTTGATTGTGTTGCAAGTGCTGTAACTGCAAAAAAATAAAAATAAAGTAGTATCCAATGCTCAGTAATATAGATCACTGCTTCTGATACCGTCTTTTAAAACTACACAACTCAAGGACTGACTCATCCTTTTTCTGTTATGGTTGGCTATTATCCTGGGGCGGCTGTACTAAAGATAACAGATTGCACTAGAGTCTGACCAGCCTCTTGCTTACAGGTTACAGTTGTCACACATTATGCTGTATTCCCATGGGCGGCTTGTGCTCTGCAAGACTGACCGAGTGTCACACTTATCGATCCTCCAACCTACCTTGTCCCTTTTCCCTCAACCCCCCGCCCCATAAAGAGAGAGACAGAGAGATAGCAATAGATAGATAGATAAATAGATAAATAGATAGATAGATAGATCGATCGAAAGATAGATAGATAGATAGATAGATAGATAGATTGATAGATAAATAGATAGATAGAGAAAAAGAGGGAAAGAAAGACATACACACACGCACATGCAAATTTACATTGTACTCTCCACTTTATACCTACACCTTTTCCTCGGATGTCTATATGGGCTACTTCGAATCAGCTTATAATGTTGGATTATTTGAAAGTGAATGAGCTTTATTATCTGCAATAAATCTCTTGTACGCTGTCTAGCCGACAAAAAGAGACCGGCTCTGCTGGTCTTGTTCAGTTAAGGAATCTCCATGTCTCGACAATGAAGTCACCAAGACTCTCATTTCTCAAACCCAAATTCTCTTACCCCAACCCAACCTCTATTTACTCACAATCAAGCCTTTCTTTTACTCCAACCCAAACTCATTTTATTCTCACTCAAACAACTCTCACACTCTAACCCTACCTCTATTTATCGTTCACACTCAAGAAGACTCTGTCTTA